TAAAAAAATTTTAAATATAAAAAAATTTTAAATATAAAAAAATTTTAAATATAAAAAAATTTTAAATATAAAAAAATTTTAAATATAAAAAAATAAGAATCCAAAATTCTGGTTTAAATACATATTATAAAATATGTTATACTATGCTCATATTACAATAAACTAATAATTTTAAATACATATTGCTTTAAATACAACCAAGACAGCCATCAATTTTACAAGTTAAGTGATGGCATCATCAATGTTCAATATGCACAATATATAATGCAAGATCAAAATTTTCTAATGATAGTACTAAAGATCTAATACTAGTTCATTTGCAACAATTGTTGCAGATAGTACTATATATATAACCTATAAAATCAATAGCCATTCTGGTTATATCTATTGCTTTAGAAAATATATTAGTATTGTAAAAGCTTGTTAGATCTAAAAGTGATTTAGTAAAATCTTATACTTTGTATTACTAAATATTTGAACAGTTGTTAACTCAGAATTTTGAAGTTTATAACATATAGTATCATAAATTAAAACAGATATATGAAGCTATGATAGTATGTACAATAGCCAATTTTCCTATAGTATATACTTGATATAACAAAACTAGCTAATTCATACTCAAATATAAAAAAAAGTTAGTACAATCATGTTAACTATACATACTATTGATCTTACACATCTATTCTAATAAACTATATCCTGAAATCATTTAAGTTGCAGTTATATAAGTTAATCAATTCTGAATAACATAGCATAACAATCATACATTAAATAACAAACATATTAAACCTTTTAATAACCCTACAAAAACATAAATCAACATCAAACTAGCTATCTTTCTCTTAACATCTTGCACTATTGTACTCAGTTTTGTCACAGCTATGACAAGTATATGGTTGATGATATTCTTTTTCTGTAGCAGCCTTATATCACTTAGTCTTAGGTCTACTCTTGTGCCTAGTAATTAGAAGATTTACAATTGTATAATTATTCTCTTTTTTACTGTTTTCAAACTTTTTATTTTGTGCTAAAAAATGTTTTTTTTGATTAATAAAAGATTTTAACTATTGTTTTATCTTATTATCTTTATATTCAACAGTGAGTTGTATAGCTTGTCATGCAAAACTTCAAATTTTACCAAATTTAGAACACCATGCTGCTGCACATAGGTTGTTTGTTGTTACTAAACAGAGAATGGTAAAATATTGATATTGTTTAATTTTGTTGAGCTTTACTAGCATCCAAATTAGCAAAAATTACATTTGTCTAATCAATTGCCTTTTTTTTATGATCATAATACCAGCATAATGCCACTATACCAATATAAAATCTGGAAATTTGTAATATTAGCATTATCTAAAAGTAATGCCTATATAATATACTATGAAATATGTTCAACATACATGTGTATATATAAGAAATAGAATCAAAAAACAATAATAAAATGCTTTCTTTAATTATTTCCAAATTATTTATTAGTAATTTGCCAAGTTTTTTTTAATATTAACATAGTTAACTTCTGAAACCATTGACTTAAGTAAGATCTGCCTCACATTATAAATGTCTTCTATAAATTGATCACTTATATTTTTATTCTTATCATTCAATCTGATTAACATTATTAAGTTAGCCAATGTTATATCAAAATATAAACATTGAGCTATTTTAATATGCTCAATAGAAAGAATCTGTGAGTTAAGTATTCTGATAATATATAGTTAACTGTAGACAATACCTTACTGCTAACAGATGCAATCTCAATATATAATGATAGAGTTTTGTACTCAAAAAAACAATTTTACTTAGTCTCTTTCTCTAATCATGAATTCAAAATCTTTAGCAATTCATATAAACTATCTTTACTATGCAATTGTTTTTTAATGATATTATTGTATCTGTATTATGAACAGAATTTAGTAAAACATGTTAAATCTTAATTAATATTCTAAAGCAAAATAAAACAATCAAAAATGTAAATAATAAAATGAACTTTGAATAACTAATTCTAATTTTAGCTAATATTTAACATAATTTTAAAATTATTTTTTGTAAATAATACTCTAATATGAATCTGATTTATGCAACTTACTGATCCTAACTATAAACCTATATCTTATCCTAACTATAACCTATACCTTATCCTAACCATAAACCTATACTTTACTCTAACTAAATAGAAATTTTAATTTACTATATACTCTTCTACACATGATGTAGTTTAAATCCTAGCTGTAAAAACTTTTGATATAAAGGCACAAAAGCCTATGAATAATGACTAAAATAAAGAGTTTAGTTTAAATAACTTAAAGCTAATAAAAACTTTTTTAACAAATTTTTTTTATCTTGACTCAAATAACATTTCATCTAATATATTGCAGCAAAGAAAAAATTCTTTAACAAATTGGTTATATAAATTATCCAATGTTCTCTTTAGATTTTTTAGAAAGTTTTGGCTAATGTGATAAATATAATGTAACAAATTAGTATTTTCATATACTTGTTATAGTGCACTGTCTATCACTGAATCTGCATCTGTTACAAAGACTAGAGGCTCAACTCTTGTAGCTTTTTTAGTATATTAAAGAATCTAATAATAAGATTCAGTAGTTTCATTAGAAACTAATACTTGCACAACTAAACAGAATCTTGTATTATTATTGATAATAAGGAACAAGTTAAAAGGCATCTGATATCAATTTGTCTTAGCTATATTATCATTAAGAATAACATCATAATATTTGAGCCAAAAAGATATCTGTTTAGAAATCATTCAAAAAAGCTGAGTAAGACAGTTGTTACTATCTAACTCAAATTCAATACTTCAATTTAACTTCTTTAAATGCCTTTTAATAAAAAATAATAAAAATTGTAAAGCATTAGTTTCAAGATCTTTAGATTTAATTTTGTAATATTAAATAGTATTAGCAAAATCTGCAGTTAAAAAGGTTGCATTTGAATATTTTGTTCTAAGTAATTGATGCTATATAGTAATCAAAAAATTTCTATTTTTTGTATAAAATTCAATATCATTTAGCATTTCTCTTTCTATTAACCTAAACTTAGCACTATATTTATATTGTTTAAGATAGAGTTCATAATTATGAGTATTAAAAAATATTGTAATTATAATGTAGTTAGATTTTTTAAAGAAACTTAGATTAATATGCTATTTACATTCTTGACACTTTGATCATTTGTTATAATGAACATTAATATCAATACTTTTTTTGGATACATATTTTTCACTAAACTCATATCTGAAAGATCAATGTCTAATAACACTATCATTGCATTATTTAACCCATTTCTTAATAACAACAAACACATTATATTAACTATAAGCTTTGAAATAAGAATCAACATCATTCTATAAATTAAATATATAACCAACTTTCAACAAAGAAAAATCATATTGCATTTCACCTAAAATGTTATTGAAATTTGAAACATTAAAATTGTATTTAAAAAACAAACAATGGTTTTTATATAACATTATTAATACTTATATTCTTAATCTTCTTAGTATTCATATTGTCACAAGAGGAACTAGCTTCATTATAAACTACACTTTCACAAAAGAAACTAGTTTTATTATAAACTGCATTTTCATAAAAGGCATTAGCTTCAAGATTAGCAATATATAAAGTACTGGTTTGAATATTAACTAAGCTAGAGATAATTCTAGTATTTGCTACTTGATTAGTTAAAACTATATAAAAGATACTTGTATTAGCATTAATCATATAGAAAGTACCAGTTTCAACATTAGCTACTTGATTAGATACAACTATATAAAAAGTACTGGCTTTAGCATTAATAGTGTTTAAGATACTAGCTTTATTATTAATCATATATAAGGTGCTAGCTTTAGCATTAGCTGCTTGATCAATCATCTTAAGGATTGCTTTTACTTGTTTAATTGCAAAGTTATTAGTTTATAAACATATAATAATATACTTATATTAAAATTTGCAACTCTCCCTGACGATCACTCGTACCGAATTTTTTACAAACGACGAGCAGAAATTTGTTAGAAAGAAAAGGAAAGG